AATGTAGGTTGAATTAATTTTAATTCTATACATTAAAAATAAATTATTTTAGGGATAATCGTTATCATAGCTCTGTGGTTAATTGCGAACTGAGCTCGTAAAACGAAATAGACGTTTTAGAAGTTTTTATTATTAAGTTAACATTAAATTCTCTTTACCTTATAATTGCTGTTTACAATATTAGATTGGACTTATTTATAACTAGTAGACTCGGCCAAGCGTTGCTGTGGCTAAGATTTTTGTTATATTACATAGTAGTAAACTATTCAAGAGAAAAGGCAGGAGAACACCAATCCACCATGGTTTTTTGGTGGTTATGCCATTAAATTGTAGCTTATGTGAATGTAATTATTTTGATAAGGATCAATACCTAGACACGAACAAAGCCTTTTCTAGCGGTGGTATTTTAATAAAAAAAATTAATAAAAGGACGCTTATTGTGACGTACCTAACTATAAAAGATAGAGACATGCTGTCGCGACATTTTTTATAGATAGTGATGTGTCCTGAAAAATTGTAATCCATCATTTTGTTCTATCATTAATAGTTTTCGCAGCGCACACGATTGAAGGAAGTTTATTTTTTTACAACTTGGGTTAGATTATTCAAGTTTTAGTAAGCATCCCTTTTTTTGAAAATGAAACATATCTATGTCACTCGGGAATAGTGTAGCTTGCCAACGGTGAAAGAATTTTTGAAATCGGTCCAGTAGTTTCGGAGCCTATTCATTTCAAACAAACAAAAAAACAAATCTTTCCTCTTTATAATATTAGTATAGATAGAAGTTTTTATAGAACAAATGGGCAGAATGCTCATCTGATGTTAAGAATTGGTACGCTCTTTTCTTGTCCCTAAGTCAAATTCGAAAACCAGTAGGTAGCTGGTTCCACATTATGGTGGTGCGCGGCAAAAACTGCCTTAAGAAACTCTCAGTTGAACGATGGAGGTCGAGGTGAAACGGGTGGAATTTCGTATTGTCTCGACGTCCGATGATGACTCTCAGCTGCTATATTAATTCGAACAACTCCTCTGAACACCGTCCGTGGTAAATGCGGTAGAAGATGCAGATAGACCCCACATATGTACGCAGCCCAAAGGATCAATTTAAGCTTTAATAACAATTCATTATCGCCTTGAAAGTATTCACTGTAAAGTTATTACGTACAATCTTTCACGCAAATATAATTTTCTTATATTACACACTTACTAATCGGAAAGTAATACATATTTGCAACGTGTTTTCTAATCAATCATTAGTTTAATAGACGACTAAGAAAACGCCATGTTTCGAATACAATATCAAAATCATATCAAATTTCTATGAAAATAATTTTTGATTCATCGGCTACCAAATACATTCTGATTTATTGTTCTCCCCCGCAGATTATTTTTACCTTGTACCGATAAAATGTCCACACAATAGGGTGTGTGAGACCCCTGCCAATTAATATTGGTCATGGCGGTCAAAAATACGTCAAAATCAGACAGATTTTTTGTTATGGATCATCCGATCCATCTTTGTATGAAATAAATATAACCTATAATTTAACATATTATGTGAAATCTATGTTTTTTTTAAATGTAAAAGGAGGCTAATGGGCAGGAGGTTCACTTGATGCTAAGTGATACCGCCCATGGACACTCACATTGCCAGAAGGCTCGCAAGTGCGTCGCCGGCCTTTTAAGAATTGGTATGCTCCATTCTTGCCCCTAAGTGAAATTCGGAAATACTTCAGAGAGCAGCAGGTTCCACATAGTGGTGATGCGCGACAAAAACTGCCTTAAGAAACGCTCAGCCCTGCGATTCTGTACACTTTTCGAACTCACACAGCGGTTTTCGCATCGGCGGTCATATCATCAAATGACTGCTTCACGACTGATTTGAGAGCGACCGCCGATGCGAAAACCGCTGTGTGAGTTCGAAAAGTGAGTTACAGAATCGCAAGGCTGTTGTGGAACGGACGTCGAGGTGATACGGATGGTATTTTGTATCCTTGACGTCCGATAATGAAACCCAGGTGCAGGTATTAGTCCGAACAACTCCTGTTAACAATTCGTCTCCAACGAATTCATAATAAATAAAGAATTAGTACAAAACATACATATAGTACTTTTACGAGTTTTATTAAGCATTTCTCTTACTAGTAAAGTATAAACTTCATTACGATAAAACACGGCGACTACATATTCAAAATCGTATTCCATACTTGGCACTCTAGCACATAATTAATTCAGATGACACTCCGAAGTTTAACACACAAGTTTTCCATTGACCTTTCCTGCGGTGAAAAAACAAAACAGATTTAACTGCCACGTTGGTAGTAACGAGCTAATTTAAACTTTTAGGTGCGACCTTTTGAAGGGTGACACCCCCGTCACCTGAGGCGTTTGGCGCTGCCTAGACACTACCCAATAAATCACAGATATACACTTGGAGCTAGATCGGGGATAGATTAAAAATACTATCCATTGTTTTTAGAATGGGTTTATATTGTGAACGGTGATCTTAGTTATTTCGACTACCTATGTATTTGCGTGAATGTATGTGTGTGCTCCTATTTCAACATGCCTACTGCTGATAGAGGAAAAATCTTTGTTTGAAATTTATTTTATTATTATTAATTACTTAAGATGTCATGGACGTGGTGTAATGGCTCCTTAAAACATTGTGTAAAACAAATAAAACTGACGTTCGTAAGTGTACATTGTGTTACCTAAATGAATAATTGATTTCATTTCATTTATGAAAAATAATTTAAAAAGTAATTTTTAAATATATAATATTTTTAAAAATGGAACTAATAATTTCCATATTTATAATATACAGATTAAACTAAGCGGCTAGAACGTTATGTAAAAATTTGACAATTGACACAGTTGTATAGTCTATAGTCTATACCAATTTGTCGGTACAAACCAATAAATCAGGTTCGATTTGTCGTAATTGTGCGCATGTGTCGACTTGACCAGTGTCCACTCACGCGTGGGGGTGTGGCTACCTGATTGATCACTATAAAATCTCATGTTTCCCCGAATAACGAGATTTGATAGGGGTTAACTTAAGTACATAAACATATATGCTTGGCATACGGTTTGTGAATAGTTTTAATTAATAAGAGACAATAATATTAAGAGATACAGTCATTTGTTTTTTATTTTCAAATTTAGAATTATATTTAGGTGTCGTATCAAGAAACGCTTTTGGGTATGGCAATTTACTGACAAACGTTCTATTTTTAAATTCAATAAGTTTAAGGTCATATTCGCGTTCATATTATTCGGCATATTTGAGTAATATTTACAAATAACAAAGGATTTGAGTTTAAACATTTTTAGTTTTTTGAAGGATGCCAAATTATGTAGATATTAAACAAAATTTACTGCTATAAAGGCGCGGCCACAACGGAAGCATTCCGTCGGAAGCAATCAAAAAAATAGCCATCTACCTCCGGCACGAGCCAGGCCTAAATAAATCCTAAAAACATCAATTACACGACACATTTACATAATAAACCCCCTAAACAAACCTGAACATTGTAAACAGAGCGCGAATCGGGTAGTTTTTACGCCATATTAATTTAGTACTCGTGTTACAATCGACCCCCGTACATAAAGTACCGGCCTACTTTCCTCACAAAGCGATTGAAGGAAAAATAATAATAAAAGCAGTAAGGAATGTAAGGGAGTCTGCATAGTACTTATGTAAAATTAGCTCCGGCGTCTTTGATGTGCCGACCAATTGTGCCTTGAGAAAGCGCCTTTATAATTCCCAAGCGTCGGAGCTGTCGGCTTATTTATTAGGCAATTAAATTCTTTGCCCTATGTATCGCAAATCCTTGACTACTTCAAATTTTGCATACGCGTTTTGTCGGAAGAGTTCAAAGGCGAAAATCGAGACACGACATTTAAGTTATAATTTAGTGAAAGTCAGATAAAGTTTACACTTTTGTAGTCACTATTAAAGTTATTGTATCAACCCTACACTCATCTAGATCCTCAAATAAAGCATGAATTTCCAGTACCGACTCCTATTTTTTTTTTAAATTACATAGTGGAACATTTCTCTTGCTGGCCTTCACCGAGAGAGGTTACAGACTTTTATATGTAGAAACAATCTTGATATCAATCTATATAAATAAAAATTAATCGCAATATAATATAATACTAAGCGCAAAACTCGAAGACGGCTGGACCAATGCTAGTAATATTTTTTATAGAGAGAGAAAATTGCATGTCTAAACCTAAAAACCACTTTTCTTTTTCTGTAATTGTGAACGCGTTTCGTATCCAAAACAGGGGCGCTTGTTTACAAATAGACTAAAAGAAAAAGGCCGGCAACGCACTTGCGAGACTTTTGGCAATGTGAGTGTCAATGGGCGGTATCACTCAACATCAGGTTTATAATAAAAATATTATAATATACCAAACTTGACGTATTTAATTTAGCAAAACGAACCCCTAATTATAATGAATATAAAAATCAATTGACAATACACTGTTTGACATTTTCAAAACACCAGTGTCGTACCATCTGTTGACAATTAACTTACCTGTAAAGAACCCGGAACCGCAAACAGTTACTCTTTGTCCCGTGAGATAAGTGGTCAATCTCGCAACTGACACCTCAGACCGTGACTTGGGCTAATTATATGTAATTTGGAAGGGTTGAATGCATCATTGTCCATATGTCACTTGGACTGGATGGTTGCGTGATGTTTTGGCATTTTTAAACATCTTCGTACGGTATTTTCAATAATATTTATAAGCGTCGAACGGTTTAAAATTCGAACAGTTTAAAATTTGAACGCATTTCACACAGAGATCGATGGCGCTTTTTAGTGAAAATTTAAATAAGCTCACCGTATATCAAGTTGGAAGCTATGCCTATTCTTAGCTAAATCAGACATTATATTTTGTAATTAATTTGAACAATTAATTCATCATTATTGCATTAACTCTAATTATTTTAATATAGATATTAAAATTATTATTAATTTCAGCGGATGCGGACAGTGCGGCAGAGGGTGGTGGCTCTCCTACACCAGGGGTGCCTGCAGACACCCTCACGTGTGGTGCTTGCCGCCGGGCCTTCGCCCTATCTGACATCGTGCGGTTCATACAACACAAAGTCTCTTCCTGCGACAAGGATCTCACCACCTACCATTGCTTTAGCGCTGGTGAGTATGGGAAGATAGAAAGACTAATGACAAATTCATTTAATTATATTTAATCTCAGAGATATCTTTTTTACGTTCAAGGCACTAAAAGTCCCAATTAGTTGAGCAGTGTTTTGTCACGTTTATTTTTGTGTAGTTTGAGAGAACGACAAGGACAAAACATTTATTAATTGTTTGAGAGTTCCAATTTTAAATATTATTTCAAGTAACTATCGTAACTGAGTACCGAACAATATATTGTCACATTCCTACATTCGAGTCGTATCTGCCTTCTTTGCCTTTAATCGAACAAATTATTTTTGCCATCCGGCCTTAATAGAAAACCAAATGTTTCTACGCGCAATTAAATTAAAAAGTATTTCACTTTTCATTTCCATTCGAATGTTTTTGATAATACGGCGGACATATCCTCTATACAAAAAGTTAATTAAAGGAAATGAAAAAATAAAGCTGATAACAAAAGTAATTTTCAACTGACCTTCAGTAAAATATATTCAAAACAATTAAACACAGGATATTGATAAATGAACTATTCCAGGTCCAAATTCCGATCCAGAAGACGGTTCACGACCCGGACAATTGAGCACTGGAAGTGGAAGGAGACCATCACTCCTGACGGCAAGAAGGCCGCCGAACAGTCGGGTTCACACCCCACCACTAGCCAGTCCATCAATAGCACCGCCGGATTTATTGGAAGATGGTGGGGCTTCCAGCACACCTAAAAGATTATTAGATGGTAAATCAAGAAATAGCTTCCTTTAGTATTTTAAAACCTGACTATATCAGATATCATCAGAAGCAATTAACCCGTATAGTGCTTTAAGTCTGACAAACATACAAACACTTTAAACGGCAAATTATTTATTTAAATGTCAAATTGTTATTATATACGTGGAAATATCTTATATCTATTATACCTACATTGCGAAATTCCATGATATTGATTCTTAGAATTTTTATTTTGTAGAATAACAATGGTTAAAATTGTTATTTATTCAAATCAAATAATACAATATATCTTTATATAAATTTTTGTGTATGTATGTGCATGTTTTTGATGGAAAAAATCCAATGTATGAGTGGATTATATCAATAATAATTTAAAAAATTGAGTGTAGGACCAAGTATTAAAAATTAGTTTAAAAAAACAAGAACCCCCTTTTAAAGCACATCAAACTAAAAAGTGAAAAATAATTCCTAATTTAGGCTGAAAATGGTAATGAACAAAAATACTGGCTTTTATTGTGAAAAGCGTTGTTTGAAGTGCTTTAAAAGCGTGTTTTTTAGTTTTTTTTAAACTATATTTATTTTCCACTTTTTAGTCCTAGCAGCAATACGTGTTGTCTCAATTTAATGGTATTGCTTTGTGGACTTTTAAAAAATTTCATTGTTTTTCGAGATAAACCTATGAAATTATTATATTGTCGCTGATTCTTTATAAGTGTACAAAGTTTGAATTAAATCTGTCCGTTTAAAGTGGGTCAAAATCGAGTCCGAAGGAGTCGGTTACATACATACATACATACAGGTGAAGCTAATATAAAGCGTGTAAAAATTTGTTACATTCAACTCAACTCAAATACTGAAACTTAGTTTAAGGAAATTTAGCCTTTCTTCAGTTTTTATAAGATTACTCTCTCTATAGATGCAGATGTAGAGCAGTCAACTCCAAAAAGAAGAGCGTCAACATCACCAATGCCATCCAGCTCACCTGATGAAGACATCAAACCGAAAATCAAACAAGAACACATTATGGACACATCAGCCTCTCCCGAAGACCAAAAGAAATCCAGGATAGACGTAGCTGATGCTGAGTCAAACACAATGCATAGTGGTATGTAGAATTTACTATTAAATATAATATATTAGTATTTCACTTAGTATCGGAGCTAAGGTCCTGATTGAGGCAAAAAAAATTTTTTTTTTTGGTTTTCCCCCCTTTTTTTTTTAAAAATTTTTTTTTTTTTTTTTTTTTCCCCCCCTTTTTTTTTTTTTTTTTTTTTTTTTTTTTTTTCCCCTTTTTTTTTTTTTTTAATTCGTAACATTTATTATTTTCGCTATAATGTTTTTCAACTAAATTTCAAATCTTATTGCGTTCACACAACGACATTTTAGGTATTTTTGAAACGTTAAGAATGTGTTGCTGTTATTAATGATTGTCTAAATTTGCTGTCAGCTTGGAGGATGGAGTGAAAGGATTTGGTTGTTTATCGGCTTAGACATTGTGTGACATGTTGCGCAATAACAATACCGGACAATTCGTTAAATGCTGCGTCATCTTTGGTTCATACATTGCGGATTTCTGTCAATCTTATACAGTGTGTATAGGTTTCTTATTTTATATTAAATGCCTTGTTTCATCTAAAATTAGTATTTTGTAAAATTATACACATTTAAGTTCTTTAACGGAACTAATGTTTTCCAAATTGTTCAGTCTTTGATAGTTTTTACATATAACGCTCTTTCGATATAATCTTTACTAATCGATGTTTAAATTTCTTATCGTAATCCTTAAGCTCAACAAACACGTGGAAACTTGGAACATCTGTATAAGCGCAATCTCGCGGGGGTGGTTCGAAAAATAATCTATCCAAGCATAACCCTTTGTGCCAGCAGATGTGCCGTCATTTGAGACTTTTGTATTAAACCGTTGCACAACAAAAGCTTTCTTAAACCCGAAAATTGTACAACGTTTAAATTTTCAACCCGCATTCTGTCAACCGCTTTGTTGAACGGTCACTGCGTAATCAAAAATTAAGAATCGATCCAAAATTCTGACATTAAAGAAACGTTAGCTGCCACAATACGTTTGCGCTATCATCCAAATGTCAATTGCAGGTTTCGCTTCAACACCAGTTGTTTGGGCTTATTGAGTTTATCCTAAACGGTGATATTAACCCCTTCGAGTGAGCTGTCAAACGCTTCATTCAATATAGGGGTCCGTTAATAACAAAATCATATATTTTATTCATCTAAAACAAAACCCATCTATAAATCTCCTAAGCTCCTGTTCATTGTCAAAATAAGATCATAATTCTAATTTTGTAAAGAACGTGCCATTGAAAAAAAAGAATTTTAATTTAATTGTATAACTTTATACATGTTAATTAACCCCATCATTTTACGAACAGATAAGGGTGATGTTTTTGGAGAAAAAAATTATTTGCATGAGCACACGATTTGACGTGCGCGCATTGTTATCACCGGCTTTTGTGATGACCCTTACGTTAACCATGACGAAACTTAGCATAAAGATATGAAGGTATATGAACCGGCTAATGAATATTCAGTCTTGACCCTATTTGTTTAGAGTTCAATATCAAAGGATCATTTGGTAACGTTAGAGCATTTTAAATTTAAAGTTGCGCATGATATTATAATTGTCAAAGATGCTACTGAGGTTCCATTGTCAGAAACGGTCTTTTATAATTTTTTCAAAGATAAAAAATGTTTGGCGTGCTCCTGACACGTTCATGTGTCGCCGTGACCTACGGAACGTCTTTGACGAGGGCACAATGGACGAGGATATTTTTAGTTTTACATAAAGGTAGCTAAGTAGCGGGTTTTGAATAAGTGGCTTTTAATTTTAGATCTGACGTCTTTCTGAGGGGAAGATTGTCTCGTGCTCATCGCGTGTCCTTTACCTATGAGAAAGTTAAATTTGGAATATATTTGGGTCCGATGAAGTAACATCGGAATGACGGCATCTTCATTTAAGCAATTCGTGATATACAATTTCTTTGTTTCTGGACTACTAAATTTTAACTTTCAACTTATAAATTATATGCGTATCTATGTTTTAATATAGGTGGAGATACTGCTAGCTATTTATTTTTGTATTAGTCATACTTTGCGTATAACAAAAGAACATCTTTTGATGGCTGTGTCCACAAGTCTGAAACATTACCATCACAATCGGAGAACCGATGGTCGTCAGTTATTTGTATCAGAGTCAATATTGAACCAAGTGTACGTTGCGTCCAGTGTTTGTTCGTATTATTTGGCTTACAAATTAATGAGGAATTGTTGGATCAGAATGGTATTCGTTTATCACTTTAAAATACAATATGGTCAAAGGATTTAATATGAAGTTGCTATGATATCGTATTAAGATATATAAATGATGTGGCGTAGTTTCTTGTCAGTTCTTCTCGCCCGCTCTTCGATGTGGGAATTACTAGTAAATTTGAATTTAGAAATTAATTTTTGACAAGTTTATATAGTTGCCGTGTGTAAAGGATTTTTTACTTAAAACATATATAATTAACGGAATATTGAATGCTGCTTCCTGATAACCGACCGCAATATTTTCATATCAAGACGCGTTTTCTTAAGGGTCGTCCACAAAGGGCCATCTCTTCCAATCTTTAATCCTATCTCGGGACCTTTGCGGGCAAATTTAAATTTCTTTAGAAATATCGTCTCTATTATATATGTGCGGGTTCTATTCGTGACGTTCGTGGGCGAGATAACGTAAGTTAAGTCCGAGTAGATTGTTGAGAAAAAACTACCGCTAACTTCAACTGAAGCCCATCTTGGACTGCAGCTTGGGCAATTTGATCTTTATAACTCTGCTTTAAAATCTGATCTCGTCTGCAGTATCTGGGATTAGTGGAACCTTATTTTGTATATGAGGTGATAAGTCTTTATGAAGGGTCAACCTTTTCTATAGAGAGCTCACCCTTTTAGTGAAAAGAGTTCGTTGATAGCTGATTTAGGATTGGTGATAATGCATTCAGTGTGTGTAAATATATCATAGATTTATTCTATGATAGATCGCTTCGAGAGCGTTTTTTGAATTGAATTTGAACAATGGACTGCGAGTAGATACTGACATATGTCCCCTAGGTCAGATTTTAAAGGATTGTTGGTCACATCGATTTGAGAGCATTGAAAAGCTTTGGTTTGGACATGAGGGTTATTTGTTTGATTGTTAATTAAATCTCGTGTATCTATTGATCCAATTATTTCTATTGAGTCAATCATTGATGATTTTTATAAAACTAACTAGCTGATCCGGCAAACGTCATTTTGCCATGTATATCATTTATAATAAAAAAATAGGGGTTGATCGTAGAGAGGTGAAAGTTAGGGGTTGTATGTATTTTTTAATGCTGTATCATAAAAAATAAATAATTTATCTAAAAATTAAAAAAAAAATTTTAGGGGTGGACTACCCTTAACATTTAGGGGGATGAAAAATAGATGTTGTCCGATTCTCAGACATACCCAATAAGTACACAAAATTTCATGAGAATCGGTCAAGCCGTTTCGGAGGAGTTTAACTACAAACACCGCGACACGAGAATTTTATATATTAGATTACAATACATTCCAATGTTTTGTCCTCGGCAAACATTTTAAAGCGCTCATATCCCCCACCCCTCCAACAATTTTATTGTTTTTCTTCAATTTTTTGTAATATGTGGTAATGGCCGTTCCACACGTGTCGACAACGGTTATTACGAGTTTAAAATAGCCGCCAACATCTGGCCAGAAGCGGACCAATTTTGGAGATCACATCTCCGAGATAAGGGTTTTGTTTGGGTACGGCGATTGACATAAAATAACCTTGTATGTTAGATTTATCGTCAATGAAATGAGTTTCTGGTTAATTTGTTATATATTGCTTTTTGAAACCGTGTTCAAATGTTTTATTATTTTTTGTAGTTGTCTTTTGCGTAGGTCGCACATAAAGGCAATCGATTAAATGTTAGTTTAATTTTAACTTAAAGTTTACGCCGATATATAGTTAGATCTCTTGGGGTATAAAATTGAAATCAAGCTTTAACATCTAAGTTATCAATAACATTTTGGTTTAGTGAAATGGAATTGATTGGAGATTGCCAACTATCGTTAACAGAAACTAAAATTTTGATCAAGTAATATTTAAATCATCAAAACATTATTTACACAAATTTTCTTAATACATTGTTGTTTTGCTAATAAGCAATTTATTTTTGGTTTTGTAAATGCTTTTTATCAATGATATATAATAATTCTTTTGTCCATACTTCTTTTAAATTAATATTTAATGCCCGAAAAGTACTTCTAATCGTGTAACATATACGCAGTAAGAAGATTTATACTCTTTTTTATACTAACCGTAACATATCAACGGGTCACAATTTGCACTGGGGGGGTTGAAAGGGTAGTTTGGGGGGTTGGGGGTCGGAAAGGGAAGACGGTCATTCAGCGCAGCGGCGCGACGGACATCCGCCGCATAACAAGTCGATGGTCTAAGCGCTCTGGCGTTATAAATGTCGTGAGGTTTTTTTTTTCAAATTTTCAATATTGTCTGTGGTAAGACGCGAATGGGTACTCCTTATACATACTTTTTTGTAACAGGTTTTTACGCTACTTGTACTAAGGACAACTTCTTATTAATCAAATCAAATTAATGCCATTGCTTAGCTGTTTTATCTCTTTTCATCGAAGCGTCAGCACGTTTGACAGAAAGAGATAGTGTTAAGAAGTCGACGATTTAGTAATAATTAATACTAATATAAATATTGTTCCTAACTTTTCTCTATTAGATTTTAATAGAATATAGGAGTTGCGCTCATTTTCTCACGCGTGAAAGCCTCCAAAAGAACTCATTCGCAGTTTCAATGCGTGTACGGACATACAGAATTTTTAACTAACGCCCATACTGAGCTGTATTGTTTATCAGTATATACTCTAGTTATCATATAATAGTACAGACGATTCTACAATGGTAGTAGAAATTGTACGATTTAGTAACTAATTATTAATATGAATATAGTATACAAGACATACATTCAGAGATGATGTAATTTTTATGCACTAACAGTTAATATATCTTTAATCATATAAATAAAGTTCGAAGTTCATAACTTAGACAGTTTCTCGAGGTGTCCACGAGAGGCGCTAGTGAACAACTGTTGACAGGAAGTAGCGCCGACGGCTTCCGGTAGAATGTTCTATATGCTGCATTTTCCATTTTCAAACTCAAGATTTTTAAGTTTCACACCTTTTTATATTTTACTTAAAGAGCTTATTGTTTTTCAAGTTCGAGCGTCCAACAAAATAGTCAACGAATAAAATGATAGATTACATTCTATTTTAAAAATGTATAAAAATCATTTTTATTTTGTATCTTGTACTAACTTATACCAATTTATTTATTTAACAAATATATATTAATATTAAAAAGTCCATCTCTCAGATTCAAAGACTTAGCGTGAAGTCCAGTTTCTCAAATTCCAATTCTTGGCCTTTTTAGAAACAAACTCAACCCTAAGTCTTGACTCTATATCTAAAGATTACTGCCTTCTATGAACAGCCTTCTAGTCATCTCAATTATAAAGGTTTTAGATTAGACAATATTTATATTTCACTTTCATTATGATACCAAAGTTTAGAAGAATTGTATTGTGATATTAAACTTAAAATCACTTTGTAAGTATTAAGGAAAATGATTCGCAGATCTAAATACGTATAAAATTACTTCTGCTTATTTAAATAGGATGAGAAACTGCAAAGATACAGTCGAAACTCACGTCTTTTACATTTAGATCCGAATCGGATGTCGTAGGATCTTTCTGAAGATTAAGTAAACACGTTTAATAGTAAATTAATTAAATAAAAATTTAAATTCACCTATCAGACTTAACCAAGAAAACAGACTTTATTTATTAATAAATAAAGTCAGACTCAATATATTTCTAATAGGCAAATAGGTGATTGAAAAAACGCTACAGTAATAATTAACTCAAAAGGGGTTGAAACGGCTTCACTCATTTTTATGAAATTTTATATATTTGTCGATATAGATGTGGGAAAAAAATATTTTTTTCTAGGAAGATGACTGAATGAAACCGCGTTTCGTCTAGTTAGTTAATTTATTAACATATATAATATATCTACACTATAAGTTACAATATATATGACAACTACGGTGCACATACAATTAACAAAAAAATATAAATTAATATTACACTCGCAAAAAAAAATTTTTATTGTAAGTTTTACTTAGTAATTACTTATTTAATTCACCTAATCCGGATTAGGTACCAGATAGCTGATTAAAAATGCTTTAACTCAAACTCAAAATAATTTTATTCATATAGGTAAACAAGTACACTTATGAACGTCAGAAAATAAGTTAAATTAATTGTATATATACTTATGATTATTAGAGATAACTTAGAGATAACTTAAAGGATGTCTATGATGGCCTACAAGAAATTAAGGAATCGGACAACGCTCAGTTAAAAATGTCTAACAACCGTTTCGATTTCAAAAGGCAATCGTTGATTGTCATTGTGAGGCAGTGGGGGTGAAATTTTTAAACGCCCCCCGTCTGGTCCCACATAATCGCGTGGGGTGGACACATCTTGGACAATAACTTTAGTCATCCGAATTAACTAGACAGGACGAATGACAAAATGCTGTAATCGATATAGTTAGTGGTGACTACACTTTTCTTTCTTCTGCGTGTATTTTCAAGCTGTGGTGCTGTCATGTGGAGTGGCTTCCCATTGGAAGCATCTGCTAATGTACTGCCTACAGCTACTGCCGGTCTTCTAGCTCTAGAATATGGTGACGTTTTAGTCGTCTCACATACTGTTCCGGTGAGTTTCCGAAGGCTTAAGCAGAGGACGCATCTCTGACATACCTCTCTCGCTTTATCCTCTTTCATGACCTTGACCAGTACCTCTAGTACCTCCTGGATATAAAAAATACAATGAAAAAGTATGCACCTATCGCAAGGTTATTTCATAATTGATTTAAATTATCGTTACATTCATTTGTTTAAGGAGTATTTATGTGTACTTTATTAGTTCAGTTTGCAAGTTGGTTGGTAACAATATTTGTCGGTTATTTATTGGCATTACTTATTGTATTTAATGCGAAATAAAATTAAATGTGTTTTTGGATTGAACGTTTAATAATAGTAATACATTTTCGGTAAAGTGATATTTATTTAATATGTTATGAAAAACTGTATCACATATACACCACACTGTATCACATATATACTGCTAGGTATAGCAGTATGTAAATCGTAATCAATATTATTTAAGTATATACTTTAGTAGACTTTAGATTTGATTGACTAACAATTAAAGTTTAAGATATATCAGCTCACCCACACGTTATTGTTTAATTATCGGTATTATCACACGGGCAATAGATTTTATCAATCTAATCTCTTATAATCCTATAAGCCTTAATACTCGGTAAGGCTTTGTACACATATTTATTAGGCGTTATGGTATCGTAAGAGTCTCTCAACCCGTCGTGCTTTCGAAGCACGGCTGTGCACCTATGAATTTTTATTTCTACATATGTTTCCACTCACAATGTATGCAGATATCGTGAGAAAACCGACGTCATGAGTCAGGTACAGATTGATCAACGAAACAAATTTTATTAAGAAACATAAGCACCAAAGAGCGCGGGTTATAGCGCCATCGTTTAATTCCAGTACAGTGTGCCTCTAGGCTATGGTCCTTATGTTTCTGGATTATTTTTTTTATGTTAATAGTATTTATTCCTAAAATACGTTGTCTTAGATCCGCAGTTTCAGAATTTCATTTCGCCATTCCGTATATATTGCACCTGAAATAAAAATAAACACTGATAAAGTTCTTAACGATTCATAGGTATATATATCATTTTGAAATAACTTTTTTGAATTATCGAAGCTGTGTTATCCGCTATCCACAGTAAAATTGTAATGGCAAATAAATCTGGGTTTGCACTGAACATATTAGAATTGTATTTGAATGTTTATTTCGTTCAATAAGCTGCAGCGTTTTAAAAACATAATATTTTAATAATAAATACGTAGTAGTGACCAAAATACAACGGACAATATAAAAAACGTAAAATGTTGTCGATGTTTATAATACCTCAGTATATAGGGTGTATTTATTTGCGATTTAGCATGATTATTTACAAAGATTTTCAATATCATTAAAAAAAATGTCATTACAACCCTATTTTTAGGCCTCCGATTTCTGTACCTGCTTCATGATCATTTGTCAATCTAATAGGCCTTTGACACTTAGGGTCTAAGGCAAGCCTGTGTCCTCACGATGTTTTCCTTCACCGTTCGAGCGAATACATAGAAAGTCCATTGGTGCACATTGCGAACCTACAACCTCAGGGATGAGAGTCGCACGCTGAAGCCACTAGGCCAACACTGCTCTAAGAAACTTCATTAGTATTAAAAATATGATTTTTTTTGTTCTTGTATTGTATTATTTTTAGATTTAATAAGTTCTTTTGTACATATGAGGATTTAAATACTCTTCATTGTATGAACAGTAACTTTTCACGATTTATGGGCTTGACGTATAAAAAGGCTTGTCCATCAATACATCCTGTATCCCGGTCACAGTCTGACCGTTACATTTCAATAATCGTCTTAACAAGATTTCTTATCTGGCCGCGCCTTCCATTCTTATATTAGTGATGCTCTTATTTTTATCGATATTTTTTTGTACCGCAATTGTATGCAGGAATGTATGAGGTATTTAGATTCGATTAGCTTTCGTGATCGATATATTTATGTAAGTAGATTGTAAAAGTGTTTATCGAGTATTTAATGGATGTTTCTTAACTTTAGATTATCATATATACGGGTTAAATTTGAAGTATGATGGAATTAATAGAGCGTTAGACGGCAATTGATTTCCCTTTCGTAGATATGTAACAGTATAGATTTCAATATCAACAGTCGTTACCGCGCATCCGTACGTGATTCCGGTCCGCGAATATTTCATAAGATTTTAGAGGTGCATGAATCACGCGGAACACGAAGGGGCTATCCGTCACGCCCGCCGTCCCTCGGACCTTCTTAGCATGCGTGCCACGTGCCACCCTAGGCCTACTCCGCGATATGTGAAAGCTATTACTAGACGCTTCGCTATTAATATCGGTGTGAATCCGTCAAATATCGTTTTTATTTACATCATTTCTCTTTGTCCACAGAGCCAAGTAACTACGTGTGCTCCACCTGCAAGGCACGCGTGCACTCGGCTTGGCGGCTGGTGCAACATGTCCAGCATGTACACGGTGTGAAGATATATGTGGAGAGCATGCCTCAACAGCTACTCAACAAACAGAATCACTCAAATTCAAGCACATCTTCCAGCAGCTCCGGCTGCTCATCGTCTAGCGCCCCGTTACCACCACCGTCACTTCGTCACCACCCTCTGCTACCTCCGCCAGATATGCATTCCCCTTTTGGAGTTGGTGGGCTGCTAAGAATGCCGCTTCCTGGTAGCTTACCACCTCTCGCTCATCCGTCAGTACCTCCAGCGCCACTATTTGCTCGACCCAACCACCATGACCATCGATATAGAATGGAACAACTTGTTTCGGAACAATTCCGCCACCATGGCCTCAATTTAGCTGCTGCTGCTGCGGCCGTTGCAGCAAACTCTCTCCCTCCACATCAAGCTTTTCCTTCACCGGCTGATCGGCCACCTGTAATACCTACCTCGCTATCAGCTCGTGAAAGACAGCCCCCAGTATCACAGCCTCTTTCATTGGAACCCCAGCTGGATTTTTACTCGCAGCGCTTGCGGCAACTGGCCGGTACAACCAGTCCAGGGGCGGCCACAGGCAATTCCAGCTCTCCTAGCCCCAGGAAGCATTCTCCTCCGTTCGCTTCCCCGTCGCCTTCCCGAGTCGGACAAACTCCACCGGTGGGCGCCGGACCCGGAACGGTGGACGCGCCTCGTGAAGCAACACGGGCGCATAGTTCCATATCACCTGAACGTCGAAATGAACCACAAACAGCTGACGCTCCACCAGCAGATCGATCTTCATCTTCTCCTCCAAACAAACGGACCGATGAAGCTAACCACACTTGTGAATTCTGTGGAAAGAAATTCCGGTATGAAAACAGTTTAATGGTCCATCGGCGCATTCATACTAGAGAAAAACCTTTTAAGTGCACTGAATGTGATGAAGCTTTCGAGAAAAGCTCAAAATTAAAACGCCATATGAAAGTACATCGTCCTGAAAGCAATACAGAAGAGGGAGGTGAATCAGCTGGGGATACTGGTGAAGATGAAACCGAAGATGAATTGGAGGATGAAGAGCTTGATGGTGAAGAGGAGGAGGAAAATGAAGATGGGGAAGAGGTGGAAGAGGCCGAGGATCTAACTGTATCAAATAGCAGTGTTCCTTCTGCCCCAACGAGAAAACAAACACCCGTGTTACCAGCCCACCCGCCTACTGCATCTGTTGTTGGTGAACTTATGGACAAATTTGGTCTCTCCAACATTGCCCAATACAGTGAAGCTTTTAAACAAGCTCTACAGGAATCTGGTAATACGTTAAAATGGCAACTGGCTAAGGACCGAGACAATAACAACGGGCCTCCATCTGATAAACCAAATGGAATGCCCCCATCTGCGGCATTACGATTAAAAGAAGAATTCGCTAAAATGCCCCCACAACCACATCCCCTATTCAATCCATTTGAGAGCCCGTTTGAAGCATCAAAACGAATGAAACTAGAGATGGATAGAGGTGAAGGTTGGTGGTTACCTACATTACATGCTCAGAGACCTCCAGAAAATATATTTGACGGCCTAAAAAATAGTAGCAACGGTCTTCTCCAGAACCCACTATTAAAAACAAAAGAAAGCAGACGTAACGACACTTGTGAATTTTGTGGAAAGGTATTTAAAAACTGCTCAAATCTGACTGTTCATCGGCGATCACATACTGGAGAGAAGCCATATAAATGTGAGTTGTGCTCCTACGCATGCGCACAGAGTTCAAAGCTGACGAGGCATATGAAGACGCATGGTCGATTAGGTAAGGACGTCTACCGCTGCCGGTTTTGCGAGATGCCTTTCTCAGTTCCATCGACACTTGAAAAGCACATGCGAAAATGTGTTGTGAACCAAAGCAATGGAGGCTCTCTCGCTCTGTCTGACGACTCTAATGCGTGCCGGGATGAGGCATCGTGACTCTACCCCTGGGGCGGCCTACGTTTCCCACCACCTGCGCCGCCCAGCCAGATTTTCTAGAAAAATCAATTTCTCGAACAATTATTTGCTTATTCGCTATAGAAATTCAATTTCTAGTCTTAAGAAATCATTGAAGTAGCAAAATTGTAATTGCAATAGCTCTTATCCTAATGGAGGGGCATTTTCCTTAAAATTATTGACATATCTTTTGAGCCAGTGTTAAGAATTCCAGTTGTTGATGTTACTGTTTAGTTATTTTCTTTGGAGGCTGTATGTTCTTTGCGTTACATTTTGAACTTCGTTTTTGATGTGTTTTTTTAATTGTAAAAGAAAACTAATGCCAAAGTTAGCTACGTTGATTTATACATTTAGTTTTAGAATAGCGTCAATTAATTTTCGCTACGTTTAAGATAGGCATAGACGTTTGTTTTTAGGATTATATATAACAATAAGAAAATGTTTCCTATCCTAGATAAATCTTGTAAATATTAATGTGTAAATGGTATTGATGTTCATATTTATAAATATTTGGCAATTTAAAAAGTTGGAAAGACGGTGAGTTTCCTGTATCTTAAATTAGGACAAAATTAAATTAGGATTAGTACAGGTAATTTAGAAGTAAATTTTAATCTTGTGAGGTGTATAATCTAATTCGTTTGAAAAGCCAGTTTATTTAAGACTGAAAATATTCCAGCTTTTCTTTGTGATCGTTATCACTGGTACCTTTAGAGCTAGCGTGATTCGGTATACGTACTTAATGTAATATATAGAATTTATATAATTTAAGTAAATTATAATAGATTATGTCTCCAAATTAAAAATCCCTTTAGTTTTCTCTCAATGGTGTTGTTTTAATGCCATTCAGACAAAACATTGTTCTTACCAAAGGATTATTTTATGGGTTACATTTAATAATTCTTTGGTACTTTTCAGTTGTACAAATTAGTCAAAAACGGATTGTTGAGGAGACAAAATAAATAACAAATACAAACTAAGACAAATTTTATTGTGTAACTGTGAAAGATGAACTGTTTTTATTATTTTTCATTTTTATTATTTTTATTTCAATAAATATCAATGATTTGTTAATCAGATGTCTTGTTTAATTTACCCTGGCATTTAGTGGGATATTTTTGAAAGGTTTATTCAAAACTGCATACCCAATTCGATGTAATGTTATCGGAATCTAGCACTTATGTTGCACACTTGCGTGTTGCAAAACCTTAATATTGAAGCTGGGACCGGTATAGTTTAGAGTTACCGAATATCGGGGCTTGTTCCAATGAACTGAAAAAAAAAGTGTTTGAAATGATTCTTCAGAAATGAAATACATGTTTCTACATCTATAATTTTACCACACTTTAGAAAGAAAATAATTTCGTACGATAATTGTTTCGTGTTGGTTGGCATGGAAGGCTAATATTAAAATGAGAAATAAAACAAACGCAGAACTATAATATTATAGGGTTAGGTTAAACGGTTCAAAGTGCTACTGGACGGTGTCCCTCTGTTCAGCCAGTGTGCAACTAAATGCATCTGTCTCACATGCAATAATATTCAGGATGCGCAAAACACGCGTAAATGGCGCTTCTCTGAGTAAATTTCTACGCGCTCGAGGTACCTACTGCAAGCAATTGCGACCTCTTACCACGCCGAGTGTGATTATTTGGCACACGCAGCCCCAGTCTCTCCAACATTTCCGCATTATTACTACCAATAAGGAGCTTAAAAAAATATAATATGATCGTAAAGTCCTTCCTTACCTCTAACTTGTTGTATCCTACCATACCCAAGACGAACAAAGTTGGATACATAACTGGGTAAAATAGATACACTCCATACAACCTCATGTAAACTGTACCTCGTAAATTTATTTTGACTGATGCTTATATGAGGTAATTACATTTTATTGTTTCATTCCTTGACTGATCTTTCTCATTAGAGTCCTCTTGTTAGACTGGACGCTACTGTCGCAGACTTTGATGGGAATTGATCTTACCTACTTTAAACTTAAGTATTTTAAAAAATCCCGGATAACTCTGGTTTAAGCAAATTCAAACGATGACAAGGTTATGGGGAATGACAAATTTGGTGAGATAATTTTCAAAGTCGAGTTTCGAAGTCTGACCTAATCTAGTAAATACCTCACACCACTCTTGTCTGATACTATATCTGTAAATACATTCACAAAGAATGTGTATAAGTATGAAAGGTTTAAGGAACGTAAGACCGATACGCTTAAATAGTATACTTTGCGTATTACCACACCATTAAAACTACCCATTCTGTAGTAGCTTCAGATTATCACGAGTAGACAGAAAGTATGTGCCTAATAGAAATATAATAATAATAATAGCCTTTATACTTATCCTAGTACATAAAAATGTGAAGCTATAGTAAGTATAAGCTGTTTTACAGCTTGTCCTTGGACATAAGCTTCCCCTAATAGCTTCCACTCTTCTCAGTGTCTAGCTTTACGTAGGCACATAGAGCCAGCTACTCTACTTATACCATCTTCCTATCTTTGTATTTGTCTTCCTTGTTTTAATAATAATTATAATCACTGATAATATTGCCACATTTTTGGCTAATTTTAATACAAGGTGTCACATATAGCCTGGCTATAATGGCTGTTGGTCTACAATGAGTTTGAAAATACTTTTGGTAAAGTATTTGTATTAGGCTGTTAGTGTTATCAACAGCGGCTAAAATCAGATTAGGTATATACAAACTTTCTAATCTGACGATGGACTCGAAAATCATGGTACAACATTCTCGCCGTTTTAACATTATTGATTATTACACATTATTAAAAATGGTAATTGGTTTTTTATACACGTGTTTTATCATGGAAAATTACGATCTAACCTTAAGAATAATAAGTAACTTAAGTCAAACCTAATTTAATAATAAGGATATTTAACATAAGAAAATAAGAATAGTGTCCAATAACACTACTTACTGTCTCTAATAAATAGAAGACACTCATAGACATAGACACAACATTTATTACAAACGAAAACACACACACAAACACACAAAATAACAATACTGAAAGAAAAAATAAAATAAAATAAGACATCAAAAACAATAAAAATTAAAATTAAAAAATTCCTTTTTGCCATTCGGTTCGCTTCCAGTGTGCAATGTGTGTGTACTGTGGTTGTAATTGGCCCTGGCTCAGCATTATGCTGAGGAGCAAAAAGTTCCACAGCGCTGGTCATTCTGCCAGAGACCACAGCAGCTAGTTTGCGCCTCTAATAAAATAAAATAAATAATAATAATACCAAGTAGAAAAATAATAATAATATTAAAGTTAGAAGTGTGAGTAAATCGTGTGTAACGGTGTATAAAAATAAAATTAAATTAAAAGATAAAAATAAGAATAATTGTAAATAAGTAGATATTTTTTGTTTTATGGGTGGATAAAAACTAAATTCACTCATGCACTATTTTTTTTAAGCTGGGCGAAAATAATAGACACACAAATCGACCTATGTTGATTGATGAACCTACGTACTTGTCTAATACCATAATTACTAAAAAAAACTTACACATAAACATATTTTTAAGGCAAATATTTACATATTTAGAAAGAAAGAAATGAGGTTTGATTAAAACAACTTAGTGGGATTATCGGTCTCAATGTATCATAGCGTAATCATAACTAAACAGTTAGAGACGTTTTAGTCCAAATAGTGAAAATTTTCATATCGTTCAACAAGTTTTCACTTGTAGAGAGAGACTATAGATGTTTGTACAAAAAAAAATTAATATAAAAAATACATTATTTTCTTGTTAGCAATTACAACTTAGAATCAAAATACCATTAGAAATAGTTTTTTTACATTCTGGGATTTGCTACCTTTGCATATATATATTACCTACTATATTGACCTAGTTAGGAGATTTCAACTGAAGCTTCAGGTTTCAGGTGTAAATAAAGATTGTCTTCTATATTGTAACTTCCAAATAAGAAAAATTAAAGTAAATACATTTCACAAAAAAACTAGATGGTTACTTACAAATGCGTAATGAAATATAATTCCAAACGATAATATTCAGCTTTGCCGAACTCTACACATTTTGTGCCTTAATGCTAAGACACGTGGCGCCATCTATGAGTGAGTAGCGGAATAACGAAGACTACTTGGCGTTACTCTTTATCTTTGATTTTAATAAAATAAACTGTTACTGTTACTAAATATAGACATATTTTTTTTAACATTTTATTTTTTGAGTTTAAAATATTTTTGAGTTATTTGTACAACTTTATAAGAGTAACACTTTCTTATTAGTATAAGACATTCTAACTTGTATATAACTTGTTAGATATAATAATTAAAAAAAAATAACATAAAACGAAAGATATTTTTTTTAGCCTTATGTTTTAAGGACACAATCATACAACCAACTTTCAAGCGTTTTAGTTTTCAAAAATTCAAATTCTTTTGACTTGCAGGTGTATATTTTATTAATATTTCTCTAAAGTATTATGCGTAATTCAACATATTATTTCTTATTGGCAATAGGCAGATAGAAATTAAATTAAAGAGTTATTGATCCTTATTGGAAATCACTCGCAGCTTCCAATCAGTAACACTAGAGGGCAATAAAATCAATTTTACAAATCAAAAACAGTTTAAAGATGTCGCTACACAACAAAATAGAGGGAAAAGATCCAGTTAAGACTCAGCACCATTATTTTTGTATGTCAAAGACGTTATGGATTTTAGAGCTACTAAATTAAAGCTATAATAAGACAGCACACATTTGTTTTTGTTTCCTTAATCTTCTCTAATATTTTTCAACACGGTCATATAATAGTAATTGGCTAACTTATTAAGCTCGGTATTTTTTACTGGTGCCTGCTACAGTAAAGCAGTTTACTGTCATCCACACCGATAACTATGATACTGAACGCTTATTTAATGATTAATTTGCCACTAGTATGTAACTGCGTGCTCCTATTTCACCATGCCTACTGCTGACAGAGAACA